TTTTGACGGTGTCTACCGTGTGGTCCACAGCTGAGTGAGATCACGGACGGTGACTTGCACATGAATTAGTTTATCGTGATAGTAGACCTGCGCAGCATCCACCACATGGATCCGGTGTCAAGACAGAGTCAAGAAAACCGGAGGTGGAAGAGGCCGCCGATGGCTAGCGTGGCTGGAGCCGGCCTTAGGCGTGCCATCACATCCGGCTCGGATCCCACGGATTGGAAGTGCCATAGGGGTCACATTATGAAGGAGCCATTGCAACCTGACTCTCAGTCATCAGTCCTCCCCTCCACACCTGCACGCTACTGACTGCCAGGTTCGAATTATTCCATCAGTTGGAAACCTTCCAAGCCATGGCTTTTAGCGCACCGTAGTAGCCTCAAGCGCGTCAGATTGTTTATAGTGAGGAAAGCGCGCTGAGTCGTCGATTTCACTCTCTCTTCCCATTCCTAGACCCCAGCTACTGTCTGAGCCGGTCAGATATCTGATGCCGGGAGTGAGCACAGTTGCTGGCAGAGCTGAGGACGGCTTGTCTGCGCGCACTACATGCACGAACCGGCCTCCCAAATACACGCCCCATGATTTCACACACAAGGGAGATAGAACGCTCAGATCTCACAAGCAGCAGGGGAGACACACAGAGAAAGGAGCCGAAAAGCACACTTTTCACTTACGTGAGAGGTGCCAGTGATGTGGGATGTTGGAGAGGTGTATGCGTTGTGCATTTGCTGGTGAGGGAATATGTGGGGATGTGGTCGCATCTGCGGCGATTTATCGCAGATTTTCATGAATGCGCACGTGACTTAATAGGCCTATGCGGTGAGCGAATATGCGTGGACAGTATGGGCAATGTCTTGTTTAATTTCCTTTTCAGGCACAGTCCGAAAGTCTATATGAATATTTCAGCTGAAATCCATCAGCTACTGCGGAATACCTGCGTAATATGTACAACCCGCCAACAGGCAGCTAGTAGTTTACAACTGTGTAATTATTTGTCATACTGACAACACATGTACAACCTAAAATCCCAGATACGCGTGTTTAGCCGATCTTGTGCCGCTGCGTGATGCGGCTGCGAGGGGTTCGGCACATCAGTGGGTCCCCCAGTCGTGCCCTCAAAACGGGCCACGTGTTAGATCCGCTGGACCAACACACATGGTGGTGGTGGTGGTGGTGGTGGTGGTGGTGGTGGTGGTCGTGGTCGTGGTCGTGGTCGTGGTCGTGGTGATCGGTCACATGCAAATCCATCGCACAGATACTGGTAAACCAGGACCTGGAGCCTCAACACACACCCGTCGTCGTTGCCTAGATCGTCCGCATTGCCCTTGCACATTCAGCCATTACATGAGACTACTCGGTCACATGTGTTTCCATAAAAACCTGCAGTAAGCCACCGCAGACTAAATCGTATCACCACATATTACCCGATCAACACATGCATCACACTTGAACACGCCTGACATCACACAGCGCAGGCGCGAACCAGGCGCCTCTCACGTAAGTGGGAAGTGTGTTCTTGGGCTCCTCCATGTAGCCCCTCGGCTACGTATGAGGTTCTAGCAACCCGCCCCTTCGAATGGAACCCTGGCATGTTGTGGGAGTGGGGAGAGGTCGTCCGGGTGGCACGCGCAGACCGGTTCTCTAGCCTTGTTACTGCGCCCGATCTCTGCATCAGTTTACTGACCGGTTCGGACAGTTGCCTGATGTCGGGGAGAAGAAGAAGCGATAATGAGGTCAACTCTTTCAGTGCATATTCCTCACTATAAAAAAGCAGAGGCGCCTGAATATATCACAGTGTGCTAAAAGTCGTGGCTTGGAAGACTGCCAATGGACGGGATAGCTCGGGCCTCCTATCAGAACGGAGAAACAGTCTGCAGTGGTTCCTTCCTAGTGTTGCCTTTATAGCGTTCTCGCTTAGTTGGGTTCCGAGTTGCCCTCCTCCCTTCGTGTGTGAAATCTTGGTTCCTTGTGTGTGAACCAGCGGGGTGTGATGGGACGCCTAGATGAGGGTCCACGTCACGCCATCCACTTACATCCGATTCCGCCTGCGGTCTTCTTGGCTATGTTGACATCGGGCTTACGTGAGTCAGAGAGGAGGGAGTACGGTCGATACAGCGTAATTTTACCTCCAATGTAAACTAGTCCGGGCACACGTCACCGTCCCCGCGACTACTCTGTTGTGGGGCTCACAGTGAACATCGTCAGGATCGACCGTCGTCCCATCAGCAGTAGAACTAGTAGTAGTAGTAGTAGTAGTAGTAGTAGTAGTAGTAGTAGTAGTAGTAATAATAGTAATAGTAGTAGTGGCAATAGTATTAGTAGTAGTAGTGGTAATAGTAATAGTAGTAGTGGCAGCAGTAGTAGTAGTAGTAGTGGTGGTGGTAATAGTAATAGTAGTAGTGGCAGTAGTAGTAGTAGTAGTAGTAGTAATAGTAATAGTAGTAGTGGCAGTAGTGGCAGTAGTAGTAGTAGTAGTAGTAGTAGTAGTAGTAGTAGTAGTAGTAGTAGTAGTAGTAGTAGTAGTAGTAATAGAAGTAGTAATCCCGGTGACGGCGGTGGCTGTGACAGTAGAGAGGATTGGAGCTGAAGTTCATATGTCGGCATTTATCTAGCGGCCGATAATGCGCTTTTTAAGGTAAAGGTTGCTTTGGTTGTCCTACTTACTGCGGCGTCGAACGGCTAGAACTAATGCAGAGGTTCTTCCACACTTTGTAGATTATCACAGTCTTTTTTAATTCAAAGGTCGCCTCTTGCATTTCACTCTGGATCGCTTATGGGGTGGGAGCGCGGACCTTCTGCTAATTTCTAAATATGTTTAACTCAGCATCCACACCATGCCAAGGCAACTGCAACTCCTACGGAGCAGTTACTTCGTGAGGTTGAAAGATGCGCGTTTGCTCAAACACCTTTTATACGGCGACGCCACTATGGGTGCTCGCCGACCGGGAGGACCAGAACGACGCTACAGCGACACTCTGAAGAGCTCGCTGAAGCGAATTCAGATCAACCCAGAGACCTGGAAGGACCTCGCCCAGAACAGACGAGTCTGGAAATTAGCAGTGAAGACTGGCGGATCGGATCGCCGCCGCCAAAGTCAAGAGTTAAGCTTACCAGTCTCAGGCGCCCCTGACCCGCAGAATTGTCACTCAACCCCACCCAACAGGTCCACGCTGTCAACGAACATCCCGCGCGAGGATAGGCCTCGTCGGTCATCTTTAGACCCACCGCATCAACCGCACCTCCTACTTCACGACCGCCTCTGCTCTAACCCCCACGCAAACCACGACGGCACCCACCCTCACCACCGTTGCTCCGATCCCCCGTGTCACACTGCCGTAAATCAGCCCCACCTCCATCCTCTCTCCCACAGTGGCGGCGGCGAAGACGAACACAACCACCTCTACCGCACTCGCTACCGACCGTAACGTTCCTGACGCCCTGTAGACCGCTAACACCTTCATCATCATCACTCCCACCTCCAGCGACGTGGACTCGGTCTGAACCTGGCCTCAGTGCGATCGCGCATTCACCTCACGCATCAGCTTGGTCGGTCACTTGCGAATCCATCGTCGCGACACACACCTGCCACACCAGCCTCCACTGCCTGCATTTTACATGCACACTCACTCATCGCATGGACCTATTCGGTCACATACGCACCCACAAAGACTGAGGTCGCCGCGATATCGCACTCCAAACACACCCTGCGTACCCGAAACCGCTCCCATATCCAGCACCAAAAATTCCCCATGCACCAGCATGGTTACGGCTAACAGCCTCACCACTCAAACCAATTCTACATCCCCGAACCCATCATGCTGTCAGTCGCCCCGCACATCTACATCATGCACCAGCCTGGTCGGTCTCTTGCGAATCCATCGCACAGAGACTGGCCAGCCAATGCCAGGAGCACCAACATACAGCCACCGCACCCGCCACAACTGACACAAAGTTCTGTTCCGAAGAATTCACTCCTAGTTTGCGCATTAATTTTCTCGGAAATTTGACAGGGCAAGGTGGAAATGAAGTTCATATATCCGAAAACACACGGGTTAGACTGGGGGACCCGACAGTTCGTCCGTCGATTTCGACGATGACCACCGTGTGCCCCACAGACTGCATTGTGGGAGCAGGGACGGTGACTTACGCAGGGGTTTATAGTGCCAGTAGACTTGCGTAGCATCTACCTACACTCTCTCCTCCTCCCCCGCCTGGGCCCGGTGTCAAGACAGAGTCAAGAAGACCGGAGACGGGGGAGGCCGCAGGTGGATGGCTCGGACGGGTCTTCGCCTTGGCTCTCCACTCCGCACCCCTGGTCCACTCACCAAGACCAGGATTTTGACCACAAAACAATGGGGTGGAGGCAGTGGTCCAGTTGTGCGACGAATGCCGACAACAGGATCCGCCAGCGCACCCCGCAAATGTTGGCATTTGTTATTGCGCACAGATAACGCCTGCCACAGTCCGATGTGGCCCCCGTGTTGGTCCAGCGCATCTAACACGTGGCCCGA